TATCTATATGATTTTACAATAAGAAATGTCAAAAAACAAATAGTAAATGACGCACTTCATAGTTAGTCAAAGTACCCCGATTTCATAAATTCGCCGCAATGTAAAATGGTACTTTGGCTTTCTTTAGCGCCAATCATTCAGTTATTTGCAGTATACTAATATCCAAAAACTTTTTTGATATATGTATTAGAAAGTTATTTTCTAAAATTTAAATGATGAAAATTAACAGATTTTTCTTATTGGCATACCAAAGTACAGTACCATTAGACTATTTATTATTAATAATTTATTATAAATAATATTTTAACTAATCCATACATTTCATTATGTTATAAAGAATTCAAATAACTACAATAAATATACTTGACAATCAAAAAAAATCGATTGTTTTTTTAGACTTTTAATTTCAGATATCACAAACTTACCTGTGGCCTTTGTAATAAGCTTTACATACAATAGCAAACATTATAACATTATTTTATAATCCACTATTTTAAAATATCCATTAGGTATTGCGTTGAATAATTGAAGTATTAACGATCAACATATATACAAGGAAAATAAAGTTTTTGGATTATTAAGGTGCCAATGCCGTTGCTTTAATCTCTATTAATAATTTAGGCTATATAATAATAATAAAAGATTAGTTAATTTTTTTTTTATGCGAGGACCCAAATCGAAGTACTGTACGTATTTTTTAACTTGCCGAAGGAAGTTGTTTAACAGCCACTGTGGTTCGAGCAGGTCCAGTTTGTGCTTCAAAATAAGTATTGTAAACTTCGTTAAAGGCTGGATAATCGTCCATGTTCACTAAGAAAACTGTCAAATCTATAATATTTTTTAATGATGCACCAGCTTCTTTGAGGATTGTCTCTATGTTTTCAATTACAGCTTTTGTTTGCGCTTTAATATCAAGTTCTAACGTTCCACCAGGAAGCTCCTTTACCTATTAAAAACAATTTCTATTCATTGAATATGAAATTTTGTTAATTTTAAAATCTACTGGGCATATTCTTTCCAACTTACCCCTTCATATCTAAATAAATATTATTAGAAACTTTTTTTAAAATTTTATTAATTAATTAAAATAAATGTTCAAAATGATCAATTCTTACGTATTATCGGGCTTTCGTGAAGATACACCAGATACAAAAATTAGTCCTCCTGCGACTCGAGCGTGAGGATAATTTGCTAAAGGTCTTGCTTTATCTGAGAGAATAATCGCTCTTCCATTGGGAGATTTATTTTCTTGTGACATTGCGAAAGAAGACGGTTAAAGTTATTTTAATTTTAACGTTACTTTAATAATAATGGTCCAATGATGCACTAGTACAATTAAAGATGGTCATACATGGCTCTCACATGATCAGCGTATGGCACCGGAGGATTTAATATTAATTAACTTAAACAAGTAAGCTATTGCTATGAAATTTTTATATTTGTATTACTACGACGTGAAAAATTAAATATATAATTAGATTTTTTCCAAAAAAAGCATTTTAGTGAATCATCGTAAGTTCATAACAAACTTTGCGCCTGCATAAAAATCTACCACAAATTTTTTGTTGCTTTCGTGATCTTTCAGATCATATCGCTATGGACTAAGAGTACAATTCTAGTTATCATTCTGAAATCTTTTAGATCACACTCTTGTCATGGGCTAAGATTACACTTTTAATTGTTATACGATTCTTTTATATTACAAATATCTTTAAGAATAATAGGGGAAGATTTATGGCTGGCTATTAATCAATTACTATTTACGCAAACTAATCACTAATCACTAGCGCAGTAATCCATTAGAACAAACATGCGCGTTTGATGAGGAAAATTATATTATGTCCAGTTACCGTATTTGTGCGTAATAACGTTATTTCGAAAATCTGTACAACCTAAAAAATAACTTGAGTGGAATAACGCCTAAAATGCGCGTTATTTGAGGACGCGTATGGGATCAATATAATGACGATCAGCCTTTATCCTAAAATAACGCACATGCGCGTACTCAAATTAACGCGCAGGTGGGCGTTATTACGCGTAAACACAGTATGCTTGGGATTATAGGATGCACTGTACGTAATAATTTTAGGGCGAAAAACTTATGTGAAGTAAAATAAATGGTAGTGATAGAGTTCTTAAATGAGTATATAAGGAGTCGGATACTTTTTTTTATTCATCTCAAAATTTACATGCTTTATTGAGAGTTACATCATTCTAATTTACCCGAATCAATAAATAAAATCTATATTCTTAATATGAATTGTTCTCTTATTTAAAGATAATAAACATGAATTAAATAATTAGAAAATAAAACATATTAACTCTCAGCTCCAACATAAACCTCCAAGTCCAAAACACTTTGACCAATCTACAATAATTTAACTATTGACTTAAACTCTTTAACTTTCAGTATAATAAGTAGTGCCACAGAAAATTCTTTCCATCACAATCAACTTTGAAACTACCGTTAATTCTAAATCGCGTTCATCTACCAACTCCATCCTCTAAAGATTCTTATAGAGAAAATCACCCACGAATGCCCAGTGGCTTGATAATATCAGAAGTTTTCACCACCGTACTCGGATGAGTGAAAGCTTTATGCTCATTGTTGGTCCAGTCGTAATAACGATTTACATAAGGCACATTAAAAGTTCATTTAGATATCATGAGCAAAAAATGTGTAATAGTATAATATGTAGAGTTCAGGAATTATATAATTTCCTTTTTGATATTATTCTAAAAGAACCATTTTAAGTTGATACAAATGTTAATAAATGTTATGAAAAAAAAAAATTAAATTAGTATTTCTTTGTATGATATATTTAAGTATCATAAAATAATGGCGATGATATAATAACTAATCACAATGCTAAATAACAAATACTACACTAATAATAAAATACATATAACCAATAAATCCTCACATATGAAGAAAATTAATGTAAAACATATATATAAAAAGACGTCATGAATGTATTTACAAGTACAATGTATCAAAAATAAAAAACAAAATAAAATAAGTTACTTACCAAAAAATAAAATAAAATAAAATACAAAAATTACACTGAATAACATCAATAATCCAAAATGCCAGTTCCGTTATCTAGATAATCTGGATCTTCTACAATAATTAATTAATTAATTTTCAGTGAACAAACGTGGATAAATTTTTAAAATACTTTATATAATTCCTACCGGTATCAAAGTACTTGTCTAAAAATAAACGATTATGACATATTAATAAGAACGAAATACATAGATTTTACCAAGGATTAAAAGCTTTGTACCATGAATTTCCTGTTCTTCAATATTAAGGTCATCGTACTCTTCATTAAAATCCACTGCGTCATAATCAAAATCTGGCTATCGTAAAAAAAACAGGGCATAATCACCCAAATTAATTGGCATAACCGCGAAAAAAGTGTGAACGAACAGGATAACCAAAACTTACGTCGTTTCCAGAAAAAAACTTTTCTCTCATAATCTCAACAAGATCAGCTCTCAACTGTTTCTTTTCTTCATCTGATATTTGTATACTTTTGTCTGTAGAATTTTGTTGTCCACCCTCAATATCATTTTCTGCATTAATAGAATCATTTCTCGGTGAACTATCTACCATCATTGCTGTACTGGATTGATCACTCTCTGTGTTCATGTATTTCTCCTTTTGCACTGACGATTTATCAATGTCTGTAGTTATTCCTAAGTCACTGTCGACCTTCAAAGATAATTCCTCGTAATCATCATCTTCATCCTCTTCCTCTTCAAATTGTTCATCCCTAATTCTTCGTTCTTGTTCCAGTCTCTCATGTATATAGTTTTGATCTATTTAATATATAAAATTTGATTATAAGCTTATGAATTAACAAATAAATCACTAAAAATTTATCAAAGATTTATACAAACCAATATCGTACAAAATTCTATCAACTAAATCCACATTATCAGCAAACGGTGGATACCTTTCTTCTTGTGTAGTATATTGCCCTACATAATCCTCATACAATAATGGTTCTCTGTGTTCCATTGCCTCATCGCTAAAGTATGAAGTATCATCTAGCTTAGTGATTAGATATTTATATCTTCTATTTAAAATTTGTTTATTGTGACGAGCTGTCGGATTAATGTTACGAGAAGCTGCCAATGTTGAAGAGGACAAGGTTCTTGACTGAAGGTTATTTAAGTGCCAATTTACTTCATAATCATCTGTGCAAATGTGAGGAGCGATAATAAGATTGAAATAATTAAATGAAAATTGTAAATTATTTTGCAATAAATCCACCCTACAAATAACTCTATAGAGCAAATCTATTAAATAAATATAACTTCCAATGATTATTAAAGCTACTTGTAAGTATTAAAAGAAGTAAAAATTACCCCTAAGTCTGTCAAACTTCATTAATTGTTCTTTTTCGAGAAATTTTCCCCATTTTGATAAAAACAAAGCAGGATCATCCAGCGTTTGACGCATGATCCGTAATTTTTCATCGTCATTTTGTTCAACCTCATTAGCTCTTAAAGTTTTGAAATAAATGTTTGATAGATTTTCTTTCATATATTTGAGTATTTCTTCTTTTGCGCTTTGATCCATTTTTTTTATTTATAAAAAGTAACGGTAACTGGTAAGAAATGAAATTAGTAATCATCAGTTGATCATTTGACATTTATAAGTTTGTGACATGTTTTTACTTACAAAAAGGGTACGTATATATAAATAATTCGAAGCTACTGTAAGAGTGGTCAATAAAAAATTTTGTGAAAAATTTCCCTATTAGATTTTAATCGAAGTGGTTTAATTTTAACCGATTGAAGATATCATGACCTCAGTAAATAACGATAATGAATCTATCAGATATATATATATTGTTACACGAAATTTTGCTCTTAAATGACATTGAAAAAGCAACTAATAAAGAGTCCCTTTATCGTCTAGACAACATTAATACAGTATTTTTACAGTTTGTTGAAATACTCGGGTGCTTTAGGATGAGTTGGTAACTATCAAGGGTACATTCAAAAGTAAATATTTATAAAAATGGCCTTTTAAATTACTTTAGGCCTATAATTAAACACAAATCGTAAATTTTGCATTATTTAATAATAAATTTTAAGTGATTTTATGTGTTTCACATAACACCACAGAATTCACATATATCATATATAATTTGGTGTATATCACTGCAGAATAGCACATTATATGGCAATTTACAAGAATTATCACATTTGACAATTTAATGCGAGTTGATGAATAAAGTCTGAACCTTCCGACTTAGAAAATTGAATGAACTCAAATTACGAACAAGGTCATGAAAATTTTTAAGTCAGAAAAGCTCCGACAAATTTGGCCACGTATACCACAGAATCGCACATAATTCGGCCAAGTATACAACAGAATCACACATAATTTGGATTTTATCACCGCATAAAATTGGCATGGGGCCAGGGCCGATGATTTTCTGTGATTCACAGAAAACAGCAGAATTTTTCTTAATCACAGCCAACCACAGAAATCACCCTTAGTCACCGCAGAATATCACAGAATTCTAAAAAATACGCAAAATATCACAGAATTCATAAATATATCGCAGGATCTGACCATAAATTCAAGCCAGCGTCGGAAATGCCGTAAAGTAGACAATAAATCAACGTAAATCACGAGCATGTTAGCAGTTAGTTGTTTTGGATCGCATTAGATCACAGAAATTACAATATAGTACCACAGAATCGTAAAGAAATTATAAATGTTACCACAGAATTAGACAAAAATTTTATCACATTCACAGAATTTGTCTTAACCACACAATCTTAACCACCGCAGAAAATCATCGGACATAAAATCATTGTCCCTGTCACGTGGGTACATGCGTATTATAATTTTATTTTAAATATATAAAAATTTTTTTGCGCATATTTTAAACATATACTGTATAATACGCGCTTGCGCCAATAAAAAAATATGAATTAACACTGGGTACATGGCATTTAGGATCGCAAACGCGTACACAGGCTCTAACAATACCAACAAACTTCTTTCCAAAACAAGTCAAAAAATTTTAAACTTTTCCTCTTTCAACCTCAAATTTTTTTATTTGTTTAATGTTTACCGATTTAAACTTTGCACCTTCATAAAACTTTATAATGAGCTTAAGCAACCTTTAGACAAGTAATTTTTTTCAATGAACTATTTACAGTAAATAGAGAAACTTTAAAGTAAGTATTTTTACGAATAGTAGTTAAGACCTAACAATCTGATGGCCATCAGCGTAAGTTTGCGCCAATACTTAGCACACTAGCCAATCTTTTTGGGTTGTCTAGATGAGTAGTTTTTAGGTGATTACTGCAAGATTGTCGTAGGTGTAGTTCTTAGCCCACTAAGCAATCTTTTCGGGTTGTCATAGTGAGGTTACCTGTAATTTTTAGGTTATAACTGGTAGATTCTTTAAATAAGGGCCTATTGTTTCTGGAGGAAGAAATGGTTATGTACCTTCCTTATTATAAAGTATCTATACTAATAAAAAGAAAACCAAAAAAAAATACTGCTTAATAATTGGTACTATTATTAACCAAAATTTTTAGTGATGGATAAGTGGTTTATTGTCCACTCTTTGTATATTGATGGTCGCTTTCTAATTACTAAAGCAACTTTCGATCACTATACATGAAGATATCATATTAAATGAAATATTAATTTTTAAATTGATTTTTAAGTTGTAACGTTGTTAAAACACCAGGAGATGGTTAATAATAATACTATGATTAAAACTTAATAGAGATTTTCATTATTTACCGTATCCTGTGTTGTAACCGTGGGAGAGACTTGGCCAACGTGGGGTCAAATTAGCTCAGGGTTACAAGCGAGATGAATGTTTATAAAGGATTCGGATTTAATGATAACGGGTTATTAAGGAATGTATTTTAGTTGGTATACGATTCATAAGGACGTTATTTATTATTTCATTTATGACTCATGCGGAATTCTCCTTATTCTCTAATATTTGAACTATATCCATATATGTTGAATAAAAAAATGCACAGTCAGACCTCTCTAAGTGCACGCCCTTGGGACCACACTTAAATAACGTGCATATAGAGAATAATAAGAAAAGGTGCATTTATAGAGGTCAAGTATATATTTGGGCCAGCACTTGAGCGTGCATTTAGAGA